GATGAAGGAAATCATCAGGCCAGAGGGGGGATCTCTGAGCCTCAGTTGGATGCTCACTGGCATCGAAGCCAGAGAACTGTGGATTCAGTTCTCACACACAAAAGAGGGTGATAAAAGCAACATACCAATCAATAGAATATGGGGTAGAGAAGTGTGTCTGTAGTGGAGGGGGTGATGACGGATTCTGAATTCTGGTTTGCTCACTGTAGACAGCATCTCGTCAGCCCTTGTAGCACCTTGGGGTTTTCTGCACTTAGTAAGGGGGCTCCCAAGCATGCTGTACCTCACTTCAAAGCACTGGTGCCCACACGAGGGAAAAGGATCCTCAGACGACCACAGAGATGGTCCAGAACGTATCTGAAGGGAATAAGCAGATAAGCACACAGTAATGGAGACGGGGAGGTGTTTTTCAACAGTAGATGGGAAAGGCAAGCTGTTTGATATATAGGGTGGCCCCATCTTTATTAAACAACATAGACAGGGGACCTATTTATGTGAGAACATATACATGTAAAGAAGCAATGGTAAGATTCTAAGTGATTCCACTTGAAATGGTCTGAACGCTTTTCAGGCCTAGACTAACCTTTACAATTTGGTAGATGGAACCTTTCCCCATTTAAAGAGAGCTTTCAAGCAAGTGCAGTTTTCCCCAGGGCACGAGGGGCTGGAATATGCTCACGGGCCCTGTCCCGTTTCTTCATGGCTGAGGGGGGTGGTGGCGGGGGGCTCTGGGCCTCTGCGATTCCTCCACCTCACGTGTCCCCTCTTCTTTGCAGACTGCAATAAGGTGACTGACCAGTGCCTGTCCTTCTTCAAACGCTGTGGAAATATCTGTCATATTGACCTGAGGTACTGCAAGCAGGTCACCAAGGAGGGCTGTGAGCAGTTCATAGCTGAAATGTCTGTGAGTGTCCAGTTTGGGCAAGTGGAAGAAAAACTCCTACAGAAACTGAGTTAGTCCGAGGACAAGTATGTAAATAAGGGATGGGTGGGGAGAGGGGACACGGCCGAGGAGGGAAAAGACTTTAAAAAAAAAAAAAAAAAAAAGGAGGGCTTTGATTTTCAATTTGGAACTTGGACAACAGACCACAGAACGTTCCATCTGCAAGTCTTGCCGAGGGAGAAGCTGTTCTGCCGCCTGTCTGGGGCTGAATGAGCCGGACCCTTTCCTTTGGTCTGAATTCTAGCCGCACTGCTTTCTGGACCATTTCTAAGGCGGCCTTTACCAAGAAGACATTCCCGCCGGAGGAGGATGGACTCTGGAGAAATTCTCTTGCTGAAGAGCGAGCTTAGGAGTTTTTGCTGGTGGTGGTGTTTTGTCTTGGACGCCTCAGTCCTCGCAACCCCGGGGCTGGTGTCGACATACAGTGGGCCACACACCGCCTCTGCTGCCATCTTGACATTTTGTTTGGTTGGTTTTGTTACATCTTACATTATGCAGAACTATTTTTGTACAAATTGTTTAAAAGTTATTTATGCAAGGTTTGAATGCATACCTGTGTTTTTATTGTTTGAAGATTGCCAACTTTCCTGGTTTCCCTGAGGTAGGAGAGAACTTGACCTGTACTTCATCAACACAGATGCCCCATCTACACACGTGCCCAGATCTGGCAGAGCAGGCCAAGACCTTCCCGTTAAAAGCATGTTTAACTGGAAGTTGAGAGCCCGCTTTGGACGTCAAGAATTACCTAAGCATGTGGATCTATGTTAATTCTAGTCGAAGTAAGACACTCTGTACAGAATTCACCTATTTCTCAAAATTTTAAAATTCAGACTTCAGCCTTTGCACTCAGGAGGGTTTTGCGGCCAGCGCATGAGCTGTTGTACCTACACAGATTAATTTATACAGTGAGTCAAGTAGAATAAATGATCCAACATAGCCTTTCTTTTCCTTTTTTCTCTCCTTTGAGGTGAGTTGAGTTCTCGTTCAAGGTTTATAACATGGCTATTTCCTAGTTGTAAAGTTATGCCTCCATAAGTGCCATTCTTGTAAGGTGTTGTTTTCCTAGACCTTCCTCAAAGCGGTTTTACCTTTGTTGAATTTGTATAAACAATTGTACAAAAAAAGCACCCTTGGACTTTGAGAGTTTCTGTTCTAGGAGTGGACTAGAAATTCGATTAAAAGATCCAGAGGCAGTAGTCTCGACATTGGCATAACACAAGCTGTAATTTCGTATTCCCCAGAGAAAAGCTGTGGCCCCCTGGTCCATGTTTTTCCTGGCTTCAGAGAGAACTGGTTTAGGACTCCTGAAGGCAGGGGGAGGAATTCGGTACAAACTGCCATAGGGGCGAGGCGGCTTACCTGTTTGGGTGGCGCTGACCCCTTCCGTGGCCGCAGGGGAGCAGGCGGGGGACATCCACCTCCTCAGCCTCTCCCTAGAGGCAACTCATGGAGGCCACACACTGCTCGGTGGCTGAAGGCACAAGGATAGGAGGTGACTATCCCAGCTAGCAGACACAGAAACCAGTAGGAAGTAATTTTCGATCATAGAAAAAAAATTTTTTTTTTAAACAGGGCCCTGCAAGTTCATACTTCCATAGAAAAATGCTCTAGTGAATCTGAAAATGGAGAAAATAACCCAACTTCCTTCCTTGGTAGTTTATTGCTCCCCTTACCTGTTTTGTTTTTTTTTTTTGGCCACAGCAAAATGGTTTTAGATCCCATCTGGTCTCCTGCCTTCTGTTAGTTAAAACCTAGAGATCCTTGGACTCAAACTGGTGTACCCCAGAATTTAACTCAGGAGATGCACTTTACAGAGGTAAGATTAGCTTAACACTACAGTTTATTTATAAAAACGCGGCTTACCTTTGCAAGCCTGTTCATTCATCATGGAACACCTGCACAGGAGGCCAAGTTTCCATTTTCTGGGAGCTGAGTTCTCTGAACTTCCGAATACGTGTTACCCTGATGTCCAGTGAAGGCATCTTCTATCTTGGGAATTGCTTTAAGGGTAACAGTGTTCTCCAGGTGAACAGTCCCTGGGGTTAGAGGGCCCTGTTTCTATGTTTCCGGGAGGATGCAGGCCTGCCGAGCGGAGGAGGGGCCTGCCGGCGCTGGGGAGCCACGGCTACCATAGGGACACCTCAGAACCAAGACAGCAGTCTCCGTAGGCTTGAGGCAGACTACAGTCCTGTGATGGTTGCTCAGGGGCTCTCCCAAGTGTACAGAACTGGTTAAGGTTATAGCCCAGGACAGTTTCTCTACAGACCTGTTATTTTTAAAAATGAGCTGTAGATGAGGCCAGCCTGAGTTAAATGCTTGTAAATTGCTGCTCTGAATCCATAGACCATAACGGATGAAGCGGACAGGACCATAAGCCAGAGGCAGTGCTTTGTGGATTAGGTCACAGCTTCCTATCCTAGAAAATAGGCTCTATCTCCCCTCCTTCCAGGGAACCTGAGGTTTACAAAGGATAATACCATGGCATGTCCAAAGCATCGAATGTTCTCCTTCCGTATTGTGAGGATAGGGACCAAGAGACATCCTTGTATTCTGTAGACCTTCAGACTTTTATGCATACATTACCTGTTCAAAAAAATTAGAGGCAGCACATGCCAGCTAGAAAATGGACATTGCAGAGAGAAATATTTACCCTCTGCCTAACAAGTCTGTACCTAGCAAGGTGTGGTTATTTCAGTTGTCAAGCTTGCTAGACTAAATATTTCTGTTGGCTATTCACTAAACCAACATTACTTCACACTACCTTTTAATTTTTAAAAAATTTTTATTTTTGTTGGGGGGGGGGCGGGCAGAGAGAGGAAGACACAGAATCCGAAACAGGCTCCAGGCTGTCAGCACAGAGCCCCATGCAAGACTCAAACTCACGAACCATGAGATCACGACCTGAGCCAAAATTGGGACACTCAACCGAGCCACCCAGGTGCCCCTCAAAACACTACTTTAAAAAAAATCCACCATTAAGACTTTTTATCCTCTTGCTAAAAATAAGTACCCAAGACAACTTCTATAAATCCAAGAGGAAACATCAAACAAGCTGTTTGAAGCTGAGATCATATGCAAATAAATCTCAGTTTTCTAATTTAAGACAAACCACCCGCTGCTTAGTTTCTGTTTACTATCACCTGCCAGCCTGTATTTGTTTTTTTTATTTTTAAAAAAAAAATTTTTTTTTTTCAACATTTTTATTTTTGGGACAGAGAGAGACAGAGCATGAACGGGGGAGGGGCAGAGAGACAGGGAGACACAGAATCGGAAGCAGGCTCCAGGCTCTGAGCCATCAGCCCAGAGCCCGACGCGGGGCTCGAACTCACGGACCGCGAGATCGTGACCTGGCTGAAGTCGGACGCTTAACTGACTGCGCCACCCAGGCGCCCCGCCAGCCTGTATTTGAAGACTTCTTTCAACCAAATTAGGGATTTGTGGACGAGGTTGAATTTCTGGAGTTCATGGTCTGATGAAAGGTACAGGGTAAGTGCTCCTACAGCTTCAGCAGGGGTTGGGCTTTCACTGGTTCTGTGGTGTGGTAATGATCTGCTCAGGCTGCTTACTGTGAATTATGGTTAACACCAACCCTGGGCTCTGTAGGCCAACAGGAGAGAAGGGTGTCTGAAATATCCACGAGGCTTTGGTTTGTATGTTTGACCCTAAAATCCAGAAAAGGGGGGAAGGTAGGTTTTTCTTCACAACTAGGCCAACTTTCCTATCTGCCCCCACTTGTGGATCCTGAGCACTTAAAGGCAGGTGTGCTACCCACTGCAGAATCAAAAAATAAAACCCAACAGGACTCAGCTGAGAAGTCAGGGATTTCTTAACAAACACACCTGCCCACTACCAGTGGGAATGAGTCCACAGCTGGTCTCAACACCACCCTGGTTAGAGTTAGACATAAAAGAAAAGCAATTTCAGATCATTCGTTCCCAGGAACCTTTCTGCATAAGCTCGGGTCAGGTTTCTCATTTGCTGGGGGGTAGTAGAAGAGTTTAAGATCAGACCTAGTTCAAATTCTGACATTAGCCGCTTCCTTTTTTTTTTTTTTTTCTCAAGTATCAAATATTTTATTATCACTTTTTTGGTAACCGCTCTATTAAGAGACATTCACATCCCAAATAATTCACCCACTTTTTAAGTAAGCTCTACTCCCAACATGGAGCTTGAACTCATGACCCCAAGATCTAGAGTCCCATGCTCTTCTAACTGAGCCAGCCAGGCATCCTGGCTACTTTTTAAGATCTTAAACAAGTTCTTTAACTTCTCAGTTTCTCCATTTGCAAAGCAAGGCAACATCTATTTCAGAATGCTAGAGAACACTAGAAAGCACTCGGCACAATACCTGGTCATAGTCAACAGCAAATCTGTAGTTAACCTTACTGGGGAGTCAGCAGCAAAGGTAGATCACTGCAAGGCTTTGAAGGTGCTCCTGTCCCCATGTGAAGAAAGGTACTACACCAGGCGCAGACACCCATTCATGCTGTACCCAAGTGAATTAGAAACTGGCTAGGACAATGTAAGCAAAAGCATTTTTTAAAATCTAATTTTATTCCTAAAGTTCAAATTAGCTAGCAGTAGCACTGAAAATACACTTTCACTATACAAAACAGTGTAAACTGATTACACGTGAATAAAGATTTTAACACACACACTTCTCTAATGAACGAAGCTAGAGGCAGCCCTTACTCTAAAAAGCTGTACCTGAACAGAAATGGACATGTTGAATCTAAGGCCCTGGCAGTTGACTATAGAATGTCCTTTGTTCCCAATTACGTTTAAACGCAGAAATAGCAACAATGTGGAAACTTACATTCATCAAATAGTAGCATTTAAAATATACATGACTAATAAAGTGAACATTAGAGAGGCCACTGCTCAGCGTGTACCGTGTTGGCCACTTGTGGACAGTGATCTCATCCAAAGAACAGAAGTTTCAAACATCTGAGTAGTTTAAGTTAAAAATAGGATGAAGGAGAAATAAGAGAACAGGATAAGTGTTCTCCAAAGGGAGCAGTAGCTGACGCTGTAAGCAGTCTGACTTCGTCAGCAATTAGTGATCATGGACATGGGATGAAACCCAGCAAAACCTGGGAAACGGCTTGTCCACAGGCTGATAGGTGCATGGCATGGACCAATGTTGCCACAACTTAGGATCGAATCTTTCTGTCCCTAGTAGTGAAAATAATCTTTAAAAATAGTCTCAGCCTCTGAACAGTAAGTTTCCAGTCCCTTCTGTGCATTGAAATGTCTGGGATCAAGCGTGGGGCGAGCGTCCTGTCGGGAAGAACCTAGGCTTCAGGACTTGAACACATGCACGGCGCGCACCACGTACTGCCGGCAGATGGGACACTCGCTCATGCGCTTGCCGCACTTGGTGCAGGTGACCATGTGCCCACACTCGAGCAGGACACAGTCGATGACGGCGTCCATGCAGATACGGCACAGGCTGTCATCTTCCTCATCCTGCAGCTGCAGCCGCTCACCATCTGAAAGGCAACAGACAGCTGGGGCTGCAGGCACCGCGCTGCCCGACGGGCGCTCAGCAGGCATCTGGGGTGACCGCAGCGGCCGTCGAATGAGCCCAGGGTTGTAACTTCTCTGCACCTCAGTTCCCTTTGCTGGAAATGGCAGTGATAATAATGTCTGTACCTCGTATTGTGGAGAATAAGTGAGAAATGCTTAAGGCCAGGTATGAAATGCCCAACAAATGTTACCTACTGATTTCTGTTTTTTATCTGTATGTAACTCCAAGTGTTTGCGATAAGGATAAATAACTTCTGTAAGTGAAAATGAGGAGACCCAATGTTGTCCTACTAATGGGCCTCAGAGAGCACGACTGGAATTTCCAACCCAACTGTGTGGCCTTGGGAAAAGTCAGTGTCCAGAGCTTCATCTCAGTAGGACCTTTATTTCCACACTGATAGAAAAGTTACGAAGTACATCAAGCAGCCTGTACTTGGGGGAAAGTTTAGAAGTATCTCAAAAACCAACTGTATTCCTGGCCACCCAGGTACATTTGGAGTCTCTCTAACTTGAAATGGATAAGCCATCCTTGCTGTGTGGCCCAGGTTGGGTTCTGAGAAAATCCAACCTGGGTTAAGAAAAGTGCTGAATGAATTTTAAAAAGTTCACCTCAGCCTGAGATTTGTCGATGGAGCTATGGACACTGAGGCTTCCCTTTCTACAGCTTGTAGAGGGGATCAATATATCACGAATACAGTTAGAAAAGAAGAGGAATTCAACCTTCAAGGGCCAGTAGTCTCTGGATTTAAGAGAAATAACAATGCCACAATCAGGAGATTCTTGTAAACCAGGGGCTGGGGACAATGGATGGATGGGATGAGCCAATGGAGAAGACACTAGAGGGCTACTGAATAAATCAGAGTCTAGGCTTTGGTCCCCTCTCCTACATGGAAGTTTCTTTCCAACTCTTACAAGTTCTGAGCATAAAGCAGAGGAGCCAGGGTCTGTCAAGGGTATTAGGTAAGACTGTCGGGGTGAGTCTCAACCTAAGTGGCTTCAGCCAGTCAAACTAGGGAAGATTCCAGCTGTGCTCAAAACAAAATGAGTATTCCACAAACCTGGAGATTGGGCCAGGGAAAGGGTAAGCAGTGAATCAACTGAAAAAGGCACTTTGGCAAACGCGCACGTCACGGCTTCCTCTACCATAAACTCCTGGGGGGGTAGGTGTGAGGATGGCTACACATGACCACTGTTCACCGTACGCAGCTGGCACTTACACTTGCTAAGTAAATGGGCTTCTCCCCTCACTGCGAGGATTCCATTTCCCAGCCAAGGCCTGGGACCTCTGAAGGTTCTGAGGATTAAGATCTGTGTATCTGCCACTGTGGCATCACCTTAGCAATAGGGATGCCATAACACTTACTGTGTATTCTGGGCATAAACCTGTTTGTCAATAATTGCTGTATTATAAGCAGATTTAAAGACAAAAAACTCAAGATGGAAAAGTTAGTGATGGGAGGGCTGTTTAGATAGAAATAGTATTTGTCGGTCTAAACACCACTAAAATCTTTCCTCTTGCGTATAAACGCTCTACGGCTTGGCCCTGTTACTGGCTGAGAATTTCTGCTCCACGCTTCATCAGTCAATAGTTGAAGAATTCTTAACCTCAGCTTTTCACAACTTACACAGAAACCTGATGCTTGATGCTAAGAACTACTTAACATCTTGGCTGTAGAGAATTTCTTTTTCCCAGTTAGGATTTAAAAGCTACCGAGCTAACCGAAGTATTGGCCTGCCAGAGGCGTCAGTGAGAAAACACGCATTTTTAGAGAGACAACAAATTTCATCAGACTTCTCGCACATTATGGCGAAGAAAACGAGACTGACAAACGATTACCTAACTCACCTGCCATTAGTGATCTCAGAGCCAACATCACATAATAAACTTACTACTTAACAGATCAACAAACAGGTTCCTACATCTAATTCGCTCAATAAAAGGGTAGTTTTCGCCAAAAACGTGCCTTCACTGTGGCAAAAACAGCCAGTTTTTAAAAGCCAAAAGAAGGCTACCAGAGAGGCAAAAAAGAAAAAAAGAAACCTACATGACTTTTGGTTTTCTTCATTCTCTTTGTATAACCGGTTTACTTTCTCTACCAGCTCCCATTTCTCACAACAGCCAGAATAGTTGACAAAATTCCGAGCCAGGATCTCCTTCAGCTGCCGCACGCTCATCCCTTCCACCTCGTCAAGGCTCGACAGGTCAGAGAGCGAAGCTCTCACTCGCTTCTTGGAGAGGCCGGGCATCTGCAATCACAGAGGGCTTCCTGAGCTCCATTCCTGCAAACACAGACCTCCCACAGCCAGGCGACTGCATGCGCCCCTCACCCCGCAGTCCCACTGCCCCCCCACCCCCGGCCCTGGTGTTCTTCCCAGACGTCGCGTCAGTTCTTGAAGTGTCTTCTAGATGATGCTACATTCAAACCAGAAGAAACATCCTGAGCTAATGTGGCACATGGCCGCATGGGCACTCTACCTGCCTGCCAGGTTCCCCTGTCAAGGAAACCAAATTTGACAGGAGCTCTCACCCGCTCCTCCAAGTTTTCTTCATCGTCATCATCCTCATCATCTTCGTCATCTTCATCATCCTCATCATCATCATCTTCTTCTTCTTCTTCTTCTTCTGTGTTTGCTGAAGCTATTTCACTTTGTACCTACACACATAATCGATCTCATCAGGTTAGGAATCCTATTATCCTAACGGCATCCACCCTGTTTGTCAATACTTATCACTGGAGAAAACCTTTCCCACAGATCCTCCCCGAGAATGACCCCAACACCTGGCATACTCCACAGTGACCTTGGGCTCCAAAGAGTTGGGCCCTACATAACTTCATAAACAACTTACCTTCCATAAAGTTATCTCAAAACCCATACTCCTTTGTGTGTGTGAATTTGTAAAACCTCACCAGAGTATTAACTCCCTGAGAAAGGTCCTGTCACGAAATGCCAAAGCCATAAGTATATATAACTGCACCGCACTGTTCTCAAAGGACCTGCCAAGGCTGGTCTGAGACACAGAGACAAACTAAAGTTCCAGGTCCACCCCAAGCGGCAGGGCCAATTGATTTGAAAGACTTCAATCCCACTACATCAAACTTAGACATTTTGACTCCAAAGAATGGTTTTTAGACTTCCTCACCGATGCCTGTTGCTGGTTCTAGTTTTCAGAAATGCCTCCACAATCAGAGGTACTCTTCTTCAGGAAGAGCACAGAGACCTTCAGCATGGGTTACGTGCCATCTTTCCTATCTTTCTCTTCAGACTTGATTTTGGCCATAGCTCTACAATACTCTAGGTCAGTTCCCAGCTTCAAACATTCCACCCCACTCACTGGTTCACACGCACCATGTCACAGCACCCAAAGACCCACACCTCCCAAGTGGGGTCCTATGACCAAAAATGGCACAAAAGTCAGAGGTGTTGTATGTTTGCATCATTATTTTGCCAGCTCTCATTTGGAAAATAAAATTCCTAGCTTGGACTTCTCTACTTTATGACTATTTAGAGGTAGGTAGGCCCGATTTCCCTCTGCTTTTAACTGCTTTCTTCAGAGAAGAAAATTAAATGTGGAGAGAAGTGTTGAAAACAATCCATTCAGTATTTTGGAGTCATTCATACGTACAAACTGAATATTAATTACAAGCCCTTGCAGGTTATTCAAGCAGAATGCCCAAGGACCCCACTGGGACAATATTCTACCATGGCATTTCTCTGAAATTAGTAAATAATCACATCCTTTGACTAATTCAGATGGCTTTTTCCCATGATCTAAATTAGAATTAGAGCAATTTTACTGTCGCAAGGCAACGGGGCATTAGGTTAACTTACTGTATCGTGTACGTGGTCCCTGACAAATGAGCCTACAAACATTTATGCACTACTTTTCAGTCATTAGTTTAACAGCATTTCACATCTTGGGAAACTGAAGCAACCTGAGTCAAGAGACTGCTGAGCTTCAGACAGCTGACTCTGGGGCTCCCTGCCACCGAGGCTCTGTGCCCCCCAGGAGAGCCCGCGTGCACAGGAGTCAGAGGTGTGTGCAATCTCTGCTCCCACAGGGGCTCATGAAGCCGTAAAGACCCCACCACATACGGCCTAGCAGACACGCCAGGCCCTTGGGGGGATCCCAGCCTCGTACCTGTGCCAGCGCTCCAGATGCCAAGGTCCGGTCTCCACCCATAAGCTCTCCCTGAAACGAAGACACAGTAGCAGAAGGGGCTGTGTAGTTTGAAAAAAATGAATGTGTGAAAAAGCTAGAAGTCTGGGACTGTGAGGAATTCAGACTGCTCGTGTCCAAGTCGTCCTCAGAGCCCAGCCCGCGGTGGCAGAGTACGAGATCTACCAAGTCTTCCTTCTCTCGACAGGTGTCAATGGGGATGTTTCGAAGAATGAGATACTGCCGGAGATCCTTGACTTTTAGTCGCATTAACTGTGGGCGCTGAAAGGCCGTCTCTTGTAGTAAGTGACAAGTGGAACATCTACGGAGATTGTCTTGTAAGACTGAACAGACGGAGCAAAAATCCTTCTTGCAGTCACAGCACACATGCTGGAGAAACAGAGACAAGAAGCAGTCAATGACAGCCACCTACAGGCCCCTGGGAAAGCACTAGTTTTCTTCCCGCCTTCTATAAAATTCAATTTTAGTTCTTCTAGAGTCTCCCATGGCACCTGGCTACTCTCATAGCCACTTCCGTGTTCCGAGGCCATGAAAATCGAAACACTCCCTGCTCAGGCAGTTTGGATTCACAGAAGTTCAAAAACAGCCCTTTAAGAAAAACACACACTTTTGTGTTAATGAATTAAAACCTTTCCACCCCTTGGTGCAAACATGTAATTAGCAGAACAGAGCTGACTCGAACCACGTGGAGCAGAAAGCACCACCACAAACTCTTCCTGCTCTTTTCCTATGTGAAATTCCCCATTTAAAGACAAGGTGGGCAGGGGACCCAACACAGGGAAAGGGAAAGAGAAAGACAAATGATCTCTCAAGGTTGTTCCAAGCAAACAGAGGATCTCACTATTCTAGTCACCTGTACCCTGCCGAGGCCTAATCACACTCAAAGCCACTGCACAAGCAAAGCTTAGGGACGACATGAAGATGTGACCCTTTCTACTTGGTGCACTGTTCCCACCAGCTAACACCTTGTTCCCGAAGTGTTTCAGAGGACTGAACTGACGATCAAAGACTGAGATGGCCTCACAATATGATGGTGCTCAGAAAAAAGGACTTTCCGTCCTAGAGAAAATAAGTGTTGTAGCCCAACTGTTTCATGTTGAACCTCCACACAGTAGTTACCTTACACTTATTTCTTCACTTGAGTGAAGAATGTGGATAGGAATACATTTTTTGGATCACAAGGTCAGTTACAGTAAATCACCTCTGAACAAAACTGCAGACTAATGAAATCCCTTGCTCCAGAACATAAGCATCATCAAGAGGAATAAAGTTTACAGAGCTCAGAAGATGCCTGAGTAACGTGAGAACAATACCTCATCAGGACACTTGAACAGTATTACGGTCCATTCAACTGAGCACTTTAAAAAAAAAATTTTTTTTAATGTTTTATTTATTTTTGAGACAGAGAGAGAGCATGAGCAGGGGAGGGCCAGAAGACACAGAATCTGAAGCATGCTCCAGGCTCTGAGCTGTCAGCACAGAGCCTGACGCGGGGCTTGAACTCACAAACTGCGCGATCGTGATGTGAGCCAAAGTCAGACGCTCAACTGACTGAGCCACCCAGGCGCCCCTGAGCACTTTTTTTAGAGAGAGAGCGAGAGCATACTCTTGAGAGTAGGGGAGAGGGGCAGAGAGAGAGAGAGAGAGAGAGAGAGAGAGAGAGGAGCATCTTAAGCAGGCTCCATCCTCAGCACAGAGCCCAACACGAGGCTTGATCCCACGACCCTGGGATCATGACCTGAGCTGAAACTGAGTCAGAGGCTCAACCGAGTTACCCAGGCACCCCTCAGGTTAATTAGAATTTTTTATATTTTTAGGGTGCCTGGGTGGCTCAGTCAGTCAAGCGTCTGACTCTTGGTTTCGGCTCAGATCATAATCTCGTGGTTGTGAGTTCGAGCCTCACACCAGGCTCTGCACTGACAGCATGGAGCCTGCTTGGCATTCTCTCTCTCCCTCTTCTCTGCCCCTTCCCATCTCATGCTCTCTCTCAAAATAAATTAAAAAAAAAAAATTTTTTTTTAAGGTGGGAATGCTTTACATAAGGTAATAGTAAAAACTTAAAAAGTTTTCATATTTTTCACAAAAAGATTCACTAGTATTCAAAATAACATACAATCAAGAATTGTGATGTTTCTATAGATAACATTTCATCCAACTCACCTTCTTTCTAAAGACTGAAAACGAAAGTCCACAGGCTTTGCAAACTATATTAGGCCCTTCCGTAGGTGCTGGTGGGTAAGTGGAAAAATCAGAGTTTGGTGCAAATCTGAATGGACCAGTGCCTCCTGCAAATCCTGACTGCTGGCCCCGGACAGCTCCAGTTCCCATGACTTCATTCAGCAGCCCACAGCATGAAGCCCACATAGACGTGGCACCCGCCTGGAAAGGGACACAAGTAGAGACCACAGTTGAAAGCTGAGTGGAACCTGGGCTCTCTAGGAACTTCCGGGAATGCCATTCTGGAGAGGCTCATTTGCCCTGAGTAACTTCGAGATTATTCTTTTAATTGAGGCAAAATTGGTATATAATGAATTTTGGATGTACACAATTTAATACCTGGATGCACTAGAAAGCGATCACAAGCCCGGTTACCATCCATCACCATACAACTGAGCTGCTTCACCCATTTCGCCCATCCTCTTACCACCCTCCCCCCCCCCACCCCCGCCACCAGTAACCAGCAGTCTGTTCTCTGTGTATCTGTGAGTGTGTCCATTTGTTTTGTTTTTTAAATTCCACATGTAAGTAAAATCATACAGTATTTGTCTTTCTCTGCCTGACTTATTTCCCTTAGCATAATTCCCTCAAGGTCCAACCGTGTTGTTACAAATGGGAAGATTTCCTTCTTTTTTACAGCTGAGTAGTATTCCATTGTATGCATTAACCACATAATATCCATCATTCACCAATGGACACTTAGGTTGTTTTCCTATGTTGGTTATTGTGATAATGCTGCAGTGAACATAGGGGTTGCACAGATCTTTTTGAATTAGTGTTTTCATATTCTCCAAATCAATACCCAGAAGTGGAATAGCTGGATTATGGTATTTCTAATTTTTCAAGGACTCTCCATACTGTTTTCCATAGTGGCTGCACTAATTTACATTCCCGCCAACAGTGTACTAAGGTTTCCTTTCCTTCACATGCTCTCCAACACATATTTCTTGTCTTTTTGATAATAGCAATTCTAGTAAGTGGGAGGCAAGATCTCACTGTGGTTTTGAAAGATTATTCTTTTAAGCATCACAAATTTAAGCTCTTTGGAAAGAGATCATTTTTTGGTGTTTTCAAAGAATACTTGGCAATGGGTAAAATCATGACACATCATTAAACAAAAGGAAAAGATACAACATATACCCAATTTTGTAAAAAAAACAAAAAACAAAAAACAAAAAACAAAACTCCACACACACTGAAACAGATACACGTGCATGCACACACACGAATGACCGAACAGAACTACAGGCTGTGGGACACGTGGGATATGCTTACAACAAAACAACTGCTTGTTGCTTATCTGAAATTCAAACTTAACTGAGCATCCTGTCTTCCATCTGGCAACCTTCAACTGGTGACCACTGCACTAGATAGCACAGCAGAACGGCTAAACGTCCAACTTCGGCTCAGGTCATGACCTTGCAGTTTGTGAGTTTGAGCCCCACATTGGGCTCTCTGCTGTCAGCGCAGAGCTCACTTCAGATCCTCTAGTCCCCCTCTCTGTCCCTCCCCCACTTGCATGCATGCTCTCTTTCTCTCAAATATAAACATTTTTTTTAATATATAAATTCAAATTACTTAATTTCGTTACACTTCTGTTCTCACTCACAGCCATGCCTAATAAACTATGGCATATAAAATTTTTTAATTTTTTTTAAATGACTGGGAAAAACATCAAAATGCCAACTGAAGCTCTGGTTTTTAATGTAATTTGTATACATTTATTTTCTCCAGTTTTTCTCTACTTTCCAAACTCTTTAAAAAGAATACATTGCTTTGACATTAAAAATATATTTTTATAAAAGCAGTGATCCTATCTTTTCAAACGGAAAATACTAAACACAATTTCTGATGACTGGATAACCATCAGGACCTTCCAGGGTGTAAGGATTATTTGTCACTCCATTGAATGTCCTGATATTAACGTATTGCCTTTTGGGTTTTTCTCTAGTCTCTTCCTTTTCTGAGAGGCACCACTGCTAACATTATACTCACCTCCAGCAACCCCCTTTATTACTGCAGACTCACAAAGCTGATAGCCAAGCATGTCAGAAGTATATATGAAAATATATTTTCAGTGAGGGCTCAAGGTACTTTCCCAAACAAAAGTATAAAAGCTGTAGTGTTTGGAACCAATGAACTTTTTGCCCCTTGTCCTAATTCTTAAGCATATTCTAGACTCTAGATAATGTGATAGGTAATGGAAGTCCAGGTGGATGAGATCTGATTAGTTAAAATGCCCACATAGTTCCATATTTTATTATCTAACTTTATCAAACATTTGTTATTTGTCCAACAAGTTCTTAAAAATGTTTTTTCTAAACAACCTCAAAAGGCTATTTAGAATGCTACAGAAGGATCATGCTATTCTTGCTACTTCCCACAAGTAATGCTACATTAAATATAGGGAAAGGAGAAGGTAAAGCAATAGGAAACCACAAAACAGGGTTCAAACAGTCTCAAGTAGCAGGGTCACTGACGTGAGTATTATATGGCTTCACACCCTATAATTCTAGAGAAACAGTGATGCCTTTAAAAGTCAGGTTAATGGGGCGCCTGGGTGGCTCAGTCAGTTAAGCATCCGACTTCAGCTCAGGTCATGATCTCGCGGTCCATGAGTTCGAGCCCCGCATCGGGCTCTGTGCTGACAGCTAAGAGCCTAGAGCCTGTTTCGGATTCTGTGTCTCCCTCTCTCTCTGACCCTCCCCCATTCATGCTCTGTCTCTCTGTCTCATAAATAAATGTTAAAAAAAATAAAAATAAAAAAATAAATAAAAGGCAGGTTAAATTATAATTAATAGTTCATACCTTTAAACAAATATATATCTCAGGCTTGAGAGCCACAGTATGTTTAAACATAAAAATATGAAAATCCAGGGGCGCCTGGGTGGCTCAGTCGGTTAAGCCTCCGACTTCAGCTTAGGTCACGATCTCGCGGTCCGGGAGTTCGAGCCCCGCGTCGGGCTCTGGGCTGATGGCTCAGAGCCTGGAGCCTGCTTCCGATTCTGTGTCTCCCTCTCTCTCTGCCCCTCCCCCGTTCATGCTCTGTCTCTCTCTGTCCCAAAAATAAATAAACGTTGAAAATAAATAAATAAATAAACAAACAAACAAACAAACAAACAAACAACGAGCTCTTGGGGTGCCTGGCTAACTCACTTAGTAGAGGATAGGACTCTTGATCTCCGGGTTGTGAGTTTGAGCCCTACATTGGGCACAGAGATTACTTAGAACACACACACACACACACACACACACACACAAGTTCTAAAAACTGAAAATGTTTTTAAAAATTCAATTTGCAGGGGCGCCTGGGTGGCGCAGTCGGTTGAGCATCTGACTTCAACCAGGTCACGATCTCACGGTCCGTGAGTTCGAGCCCCGCGTCGGGCTCTGGGCTGATGGCTCGGAGCCTGGAGCCTGTTTCCGATTCTGTGTCTCCCCCTCTCTCTGCCCCTCGCCCGTTCATGCTCTGTCTCTCTCTGTCCCAAAAATAAATAAACATTGAAAAAAAAATTAAAAAAAAAAAAAAATTACAAAAATTCAATTTGCAGTATTCCTGAAACTAATATAATACTGTGTTAATCATAATGAAATTAAAAATACATAAAATAATTGTTTTCAAGTCTACCATTGGGGGGATAAATATAATTTGCACGTAACATTTTTGGGAAGGAAATACCTCAATTGCAGAAAGCACCACTGGGATAAACTCTTCTTCATTCCAGGAGTTTAAAGAAATAAAGTTCTCAGTAAGCTTCTGCTTCCTGCTGACCTAGCTATAATAGTTAAACAGCTGTGTTGGCTTTTATCCATAACCCTTCTGATTCCTGGTGATGTGCCTCCGCAAACAACTGCAAGTTCCTTGTGGACATGACTCCCTCCTTGCACAACATCTAGCTCCACCACGACTGATAAGAAAATAACCGTGTAGAAGGTTTCTTCATATTACCTCTTTAAAGGCAATGTAATATTACATTTTGCATGCTACCCAGAAAGATCCAATTGCATCTTTTTGAGAAAGTATTAAAGGTAAGAAGGACTCTAACCTAGCAGGCACGAAATCTCAGGTGTGAGCTCAATAAAAAGCAGCACTGTCACATTTTGTTCCTTCTACCAGAAAGCAGTTTTACAAGAGTTAAGGAAGGATACACACTTTCAAACCATATAAATGAGTAGAATCATCACAATTCTAGGCTGCAAATATTCACAGCTCTTATGAATAGAAGGATTTATTTTGGGAAAACAGGTAGAATCCCTATACGTATATCAATATTGGGAGTAACAACTTTCTCCTACTCCTCATTTCTATAAAGGGGAGGGAATTTCCTCTTCATTCCCCAGAAGGGAAAAGAATGAAAAGAACACTCCTATCTTCTTTTGGTCATCACACTACAAAATAAAAAAGCTCAAGCCAACCCCCAAAGTGTTGTCCCAGGCAAAAATATGTTGCTACAACCTAATATTTAGTATAATTCAGCCAAAGACCATAGGAGAGGGAAAGAAGAAACACCAAAAAGAACTAGGTCTCAGCCTCATCAGCAGAGAACTTAGACAAAATTTCCCAATAATTCTCACACTTCAGGGTGACCCTACCTACTTAGACTATTATCTTCTGACAATAGCATTTGCAATACTCCAGCCTTCTTCAAAGTTCAGAGATTTGCAATCGTGGAAGCCCCAGGCACTAATTTTACTTGAAGGACCTTTCTTTCCCATCCAGCGTATTTTTAAAAATTAACTTCCATTTCCCCCTTAAACCCCACGTTTTCTGGCACCCCAGTGCTGAAGTGCAGATGATCTCTCTTCAGTGATTCGATCTCCCCAACTTCTTGGGAGTGGGGATTTTTAGTTCTGTTCCAGGGGGCTGCTGCCTTGGTCTCCTGCTAGGAAACTGCACAGGCCTATGACATGGCCCTGAAAACAGTGGTTGGACTCAACAGGGGAACCTTAAAAAAATACCGATGCCTGGGTCCCAGCCCAAGATTCTTAACTGGTCTGGGTATAGCCTGACGCATCAGAATTTTTTTAAAGATTTATTATTATTTTTTAAGTAATTTCTACCCCCAACTTATGGCTTGAACTCACAACCCAGAAACTAAGAGTCACATGCTCCCCTGAGCCAGCCAGCCCCCCCACCCCCAGAATTTTTTTAAGTTCCCCACTTGATTCAAATTACAGCAAAGATTACAAGGTTAACACCTGCTCAGTTTAGGCCACTTCTGTTTCCTGTCTACAGGGTTTCAGCTGGAAAACCGCTCTCAGCAGAGTGCTGACGAAAAGAGGCTGTGGTTATTTCCAAAGCCTGTACCTCTCCAGTTCCAGGACCAAGACCTCAGCCAAATGCTCCTCATAATCTGTGGATAATTTTTCCCTGCAGGAGTAGGACATGCCTCCCCTGTTTCCTCTCCCTCTATGGTCTCCCCTAGTCCCTTCACAAAGGATTGGCTGAGTTTTTAACAATTTTATCTAATTGTTATATTAGTTCCTTTCCACATATTGGCCTGGAACTTTTGTTGAAATTTGGTGCCTTCTTTCATTTTTAATTTATTCCGTCATTTTATTTACTCTTTGCTTTTTGGCCCCAACTTTTTATTTCCCAAAGTACTCCTCTCCATATTTTCTTGTGTAAAATCCCCAACACTGGGAGAAAGAAAATGATTTCTGGGTCAAAAGCAGCCCTTGTTCAAACTATTTTTGTCCTTCACCTGCAAGTTGAAGAATCCATCCAGAAGGTGAATCCCCCCCAGGCTTGTTGAACTCCATTTCCTTGACCCCTTTAGTATGTTTCATCTTCCAGCACTTTCCCTTAATATCCCAATTTCCTCAATATTTTCTGCACGTCCCCTCAGGGCACAGGCATTCCTACCTCACAACTGTCACCTTGACGTTCACCTAATAATGCTTGAAGTGTCCTGCACCAATTTTTCCCCTCTCAAATCTGTCCAGATTTTGTTACTACTTGGGGTAACAGTCCCAATTTTTGAGTGACAGAATCTATAAAAGCAATTAGGGAAGTATTTCAGAGAGCACTTTCCCAAGTTTACTGAATGTGGGCTCTTGAAGGGGGGGTGTGGAGGGGAACATGCAATTGATCCTCTGAGCTCTTGACTCTGCCTCTATGTCCCTGGAGCCCAGTTCCCATGTCTCATAAGATATCAGCCAAAGAGCTTCCCTCTTTTTGCATCTTCCCTTTAAAAGCTTTAGATTTAGAGACCCAGGCTCATGTTCTTTCCCACGGTCTTCCCTATCCTTTAAGATCTTCCACCACTTTAAGCAGCCTGCATTCCCTTATTTTTCCTTTATTCATTCTCTGTTCACCTTTTGGTAGTAGGACTGAAGCATATTTTCCAAACTATTCCACTTCCTCCTAGATTTTCTGAGCAAACCTAATTCCTAGACAGCATACAAGGCACAGCCCTTTGGCTTTTAAATTTGCATTAAATTCACTGAGTTGTTACTCTGCCCCCATTCCAAAAAGGTGTGATATTTACACCTTTTTTATGCCATTCATCTTTTGCTTATTAAAACAATATTTAATATTTACGCCATTCATCTTTTGCTTATTAAAACAAAAAGCTACCCTTCCATGAGTGAAGCCAAAGTCTGGATTTCTGAAAACTACAGCTAGGATCTGGGCTTATGTGACTAACAATTCTAAATCCTACTTGGGACCATGGATGAGAGCAAGACTCTACAGGCTAAACTACATGAATCCGAGAGGTTGGAAGGAACAATCTGTAAAGATGGCAACATTTCTTCCCTGGACCATAAATGTAGTTCAGAAATGGAGACTAACTGAACAAAACAACAATCTACCTATGCCTGGCACAAAACTTACTCAGGGAATTTAACTGTTTGCAGTTTATTTTCTACTCCTCAATGACTAGTGAAAATAAATGATTTTCATGATAATCTAAGCCCTTTCCTACATACCCCCTTAGGCCAAAATTGCTCCTGAATAGAATACTCATGGGACATGGCCTGCCTGGCTTGTATTAGCTAAGAACTAGGTATCATACTAAAAACTTACATGCTCCGTGGTAAAAAAAAAAAAATCAAATTCTAAAGCCTCCTCTGAACTGGCCCAGACACCTAGATCTCATGTTATTCTGGTATCCAATGCCAGTTTTTGTGTTTTTTCCAAAGCCAGTACACCAAGATTTGGGGGTGAAGGGGGGCAATAATGACTTTTTTCACTCCCAATTTGGAACTAATTAAGAAATAATACAAACAGAAATTTAAACATTTGCTTTACTTACACCAATTTGAAAGCATGACTTTAGCTCTGTCGCCTATTGGTCTTGTTAACAGGCCAGTCACCAGCACAGCAGACCAACAGTTGCTTGTCGTCTAGTTGACCACAATGCCACCACCCCATAGGAAGACAGATCTGAGAAAGTTCCAGAAAGTACCGTTTGGTTCCTGTGCTAAAACTTACCTACATAAAAGTTCTCTTCTTTCTCTGATAGCATAAATGCTGAAAGTGTTTGTCTTATATTGTTCCTTCCTAGAGGATGAGTTAGAAAGTATCTTCCCTCTGTAGGAGTACAGAGGAGGGGAGTGTATCCACAAATCTAAACAATTTGCATGCAAGTGGGACTGAGTTTCCAGTGCTGACATTTATTTCCATGAGACACCACCAATTTTATAAGCACTCTCTCAGATTCCTCAGATTCACAAAATATAAGCCCACTCTGAATCATCATTTCAGTCAACAAAAGCAAGAGGAAACATGCTGTATCTTTGCAAAACCAAAAGCCCAGCCTTTTTTCTGGCAGAGTGCCAGAGTTTTCAAATGGCTTCAAGGTTCAACCATCTTTGATTGAGAGAGAGAGAGAAAGAGAAAGAGAGAGAGAGATCTAATGTGCTTTTAGAATCCCTGCGGAGGTAAAATAATTCCAAAATGCTCAATTAAAAAATGTTTGCTGCAAATTTTGAATCCTATTCTAAACCACATCAGGATGTGATCCCTTTTAATGATTCCACCAAATATAATAGTAACTAGGCAAACTAGAATGAAGAATTTATTTATTTTTTTTTTTAATTTTTTTTTTCAACGTTTTTTATTTATTTTTGGGACAGAGAGAGACAGAGCATGAACGGGGGAGGGGCAGAGAGAGAGGGAGACACAGAATCGGAAACAGGCTCCAGGCTCCGAGCCATCAGCCCAGAGCCTGACGTGGGGCTCGAACTCACGGAGCGCGAGATCGTGACCTGGCTGAAGTCGGACGCTTAACCGACTGCGCCACCCAGGCGCCCCTAGAATGAAGAATTTAAAAAGCCATGCTGGTTTCCATGAAGACTAAATGACAGCCAATGAGAGAGAAAGTTGATGGATTTGAAAATAGCAGAAAACTAACGATCATAGTCTAAATCATTTTTTCTAAATAAGCTCTATGCCCGTCATGGGGATTGAACTCACGACCCTAAGAGTTGCATGTTCCACCAACTAAACCAGCCAGGCACCCCTTTATCATTTGCTTTTGATTAAAGTAGGTAAAGAGCAATAATAATGCCATCTCCTAGGAGTTGCTTGCCATAACTCTCAATTAAATACATTATACAGTTACCTCCAGGTTTCAGACTGAAGAATATTAATTTTCTTGGATGTTGTATGAAGCTAACTAGGACCAAGCAGGAATTCAATTCTTCCACCAAGGAATGTTTCGTCAGAGAATTCACTCACCATATGTGTTGTTTTCAACTCCCAACAATTTTGTTTGCTAAAACTCAACGTCCTTGTGTTAAACAACATGAAAAGATATTTCAAACCTCACCACTAGTGATGTAAAATAAGTTTTACAGTTTCCTATAGAACTTAGGACTACCAGAAGAAACAAAGCAAAGCAGAAGAAACAGTTGAGATAATTATCAAAAATCTTTAACCTATTTAGAGCCACATGAGAAGAACATGCTCCTTAAAATGTGGGAAGATTTCTTATGGAAACTGCAACTGAAATAAAATTTGCAGAAATTCTGCCTTTTTAATTATCAACTAATCAGACCATACACCACAAAGGAGGAAATTCTACATCCTAAATTCTGATAGTCTAAATAGACTGGTGTCTATTTAGGTCTCCATTTTGCTTCAAAAAATATCTATCTTTGCTACATTTTTACCTACCACCAAACCTTGTTTCTAAAATTTCGATTCAGCAGTATCTTCCACTTCAATTGATTTTAAAGAACTTGATTAAAAAGTTCAATACTGGACCTGTCCTTACTTCTTTTCCTTCCACATCTAGTTCACTGATGGGCCACAAATTTAATACTCCTCAAGATACCGACATTCTTTGAGAGTATCTACACACACACACACCCCTATTTTGTTTCTGAATCTTAACAGAGCAAGATGATAATTTTCAGGGAAGATAGCTAGTTTTAGGTATTTTAATAGGCATTCTAAGTTAAAATATTTTATAACTATACCAGGAAGTTAAAAATAAGGTGTTAGGGACACCTGGGTGGCTCAGTCGGTTGGGCATCCAACTCCTGATTTCAGCTCAGGTCATGATCTCACGATTTGTGGGTTTGGGCAGTGAGGAGTCTGCTTGGGATTCACTTTCTCCCTCGCGCTGCCCCTTCCCTGCTCATGCTCTCTCTCCCTCTCAAATCAAATAAATTAAAACAAAAATGTGAATAAAAAAGGTCTTCCAATATCTTCATACTTTCACACACTGTTCGCAAAGTTATCTATTTCTGGGCACCTGGGTGGCTCAGCCGGTTAAGCATCTGACTTCGGCTCAGGTCATGATCTCTCGGTTAGAGAGTTTTAGCCCCCTCGTTGGGCTCTGTGCTGACAGCTGGGAGCCTGGAGCCTGCTTCGGATTCTTTGTCTCCCTCTCTCTCTGTCCCTCCCCTGCTCATTCTTTCTCTCTCTCCCTCTCAAAAATAAACATTAAAAAAAAAAGTTATCTATTTCCAAAAATCTTCCTTATTTCCTGAGGCCAGAAACATCCTTTCTTGCTCCAGAGCATTTAGGGTTTGACACCTTCCATCATACTCTGCTTTGTAATGTGGTTGAGAAGGTCTTTTCTCTCTAAATTGGCAAACTCCTCAAAGGTGGAATGCATTTTCAATTACTCCAACTCAGCAAGTCTCCCTCGTACCAACACACAATATTTGCTGAAATTTCTCTAGCCGCCTGACACTCCCTATCAATCTTCCACGGTCCATCTTTGAGGTTTTTTTGGTGAAGGTTCTGTTTGAAGCCAGCAGTTCCCGGTTATTTTCCTTACCCACAACGAGCACACCTCTTCACTGGGATTAATGAAATCGTCTAGGTCTGAAACAGGATCACCTTACCCCACGTGGTTGGAGTTCAGCTAACGAATCAATACCTGGACTGACTGTCGTACACAGAGCTCTGTAGAACTCTCGGCGATCAAGTTGAGAAAATCAGCTCCCAAAAGTAGGCCAGTCTCCCCGCTTCCCCTTTTCCTTAAACTTCTCACTCACTGATGTTCCCACGCTCTCACACCCACCTTGAAGAACTCAAGCTGTCAAATTACTTGCTGCGTACCTAGTGGCGAAGCAGACACATCCAGTTTGCTAGCGCTCTAGGTCACGGCCCCAAAGATAAGCCTGAAATCCCTCGGAAGGGCGCCCCGAGGCGTTTCTAACCTGTTAGCCTGGCCCCAGCCTCACGACTCCCCACACTAACTCCTTTTCCCTTCGTCCTGCAGTTCGCATCCTGCGACGATCCCGTCGTGTTCCCGACATCTGGGTTAGTTCAAGGACTCGGGACGGGAGAGGGCACGCTGTGGGCAAAAGCATGGAGGGCTGAGGCGGGAACTAGGGGGTCTGCCTCGGGCCCCCGAGGGAGAGGACAGGGCCAGGAGCAAAGACGGGCCCACCAGGCTTGAGCGCGGGGGCCTCCTGGCCTCTCCCCCCTCCTCAGGCTCGCTGCAGGGAGGCGCTGTGGGAGCCGGAGAGGTCCCAGAGCCCAGGATCTCCGCTCCGGGCCGGGCAGGGCCCGGACGCCGGCCCGGGACGCCCCTCAGCGGAGCTCTCCGAGGTGCCGGCGGGGTTCACCTCTGAGGCTAAAGGAAGGCACTTCAGGCGTCCCGGCCAGTTAGGAGAGGCGAGGAGGAACTGCCCGGCCCCACCGGCCTCTCACCTTCATGGCCGCGACCGCCGCGTCTCGGTCGGCTCTGCCGGGGAACTAAGCACCATAGCAGCTTCTCGCACAGCCGCCCTCCTTCCTTCTGGGCGGCGATTACGGCGCCTCCCGCGGCGACCTAGCGTCCCGACGTCAGGGGCGTAGTCGCGCCCGCCTCACGCCCCCAGGAAGAGCGCCGAGCGGCGGCGGAGTCGGCCAATCCGGAGCCAGTCCTCGGGGGGCCGGTCACCAGAGCCAATGAAGTGGCGGGAGTGGGGCGGGGCCTCTGGCCTGCCGGGTAGGCGGAGGAAGACTCCATTCCGCCCGGAGCTGAGCTGGGCGGGTCTGGGCGTTGGCGGGCGGTACCCGCCGGGGCGGATTTCTTGGCTGGGTCGTTGAAATAGGAGTCAGCGTCCCCTGAGGAACCTGTGTAAGCGGAGATTTAGCTTTGGGGCTAGGTGATGAAGTCTCCAGGGCTGAGAAGGCAGGAAGGGGCGTGGTAAATTTGAAAGTAGGTTTGAAGGCTTTTTTTTTTTTTTAATAGCAGTCAGAGCAGCACCTCTGGTTTTCCTCCCGGGACGTTGAATCCTCTCACACTCGGTAATGACCTTAGGTCTCGGGAGGGTCTGGTGAGCAGAGCGGCAAGCCGCGCAAAGACGCGGCTTTAAAAGCAAGGTTTTATTGAAAACACTTGAACCAACGGTTCTCAAATCCCAGCTGCTCTTTTAGAGCGACGTTCAAAATAACCAAATCCGAACACAATGAGAGAATTCAGACGAGCCCTTGGAGTTGACTTTATTTAGAGAAAATTGAGGTTGTAAAATAAAGTATCGGTTTTTTCAGTCCGACTTGGTGACATTCCGTTTGTTTTCCCACACTTCCTCTCCCCTCGAACTCCACCGTATTTAAAGAAAAATACAGGATGATGTCAATTCACTCACTTCTCAAGAGGACCAAAACTGTTGTATTTCTTTTAAACAGATTTGCTTATATGCACCATGTGGGATTTAACACAAAGGCACGCCACTTCCTCAGGCTGCAAGAATACTTATTTTTTTAGCTTCTATTTTAGCGTCCTTCTTTTTCTTCAAGCACTGCTGAGATAATGTCATTTAACTTCTTACGCAGTTCTGTCCCGAGTTTTCTTCTTTGGGAAAAAATGCAAAGAAAGCCTTTCATTCACCACGTTGGAGCAGCAGCCGAGCTTCGCTGGAAAAGAGAGTATTAATTTATTCTTCTAATGATCTAGGCACAAAGAAACTCAATAAAAACTCACTGGTAGTACGAAGCCATAATTCTCCCTCATAAGAAGGAGATCTGGCAGGCCTGCCTCAAAGTTAACGAAGAAGCACATGAAAAGATACTCAATGTCATTGGCCATTAGGGAAATGCAAATCGAAACCACAATGAGATTCCACCTCACACCCATTAGGATGGCTAAAATCGAACAGATGATTAGTGTTGTAAGGATGTGGAGAAATCGGAGCCTTAGTATATTGCTGTTGGGACTGTAAAATGGTGCAGCTGCTTTGGAAAACAATCTGGCAGTTCCTCAAAATGTTAAACGTCGAGTTACCATACGACCCAGCAATTCCAGTCCTATGCATAAACCCGGGAGAGATAAAAACATATGTCTGTAAACAAACAAAAAACACCACCTCTTGTAAATGAATGTTTACAGCAGTACAGTCATCAGAGCCCAAAAGTGGACAAATGTAAAATGTCCACTATTTGATGAATGGATTAAAAATGTCATCCATATAGCAGAATATTATTTAGCCAAAATAGGAGTGAAGTAGTGACACATGCAACAACATGGATGAGCTTTGAAAAAACAAAAATGATGCTAAGTGAAAGAAGGCAGTCACACAAGGTCACATATTGTTTGATTCCACTGATACGAAATATCCCTCTTAGGCAAATTTATAGAGACAGGAAGTAGAGTAGTAGTTGCCAGAGGCTGAGGGGGTTAGAGAGGAATGGAGTGACAGCTAGTGGGCAGTTTCTTTTGGGGCAATGAAAATATTTTAAAAGTTAACTGTGGTGGGGGCACTTGGCTGGCTCAGTTGGTGGAGATGTGACTCTTGATCTCTGGGTGATGAGTTGAAGTCCCACAAAGGGCATAGAGTTTACATTTAAAATAATAAATTAAGTAAAATTAACTGTGGTGATAGTTGCACAACTGAGTAAATACACTAAAAACTATTAAATTTTACTATTTAAATGAGTAAATTGTATGGTAGGTGAGTTAAATCTCAATAAAGCTTTGATAATAATAGAGATGTTGGGGGTGCCTGGGTGGCTCAGTTGGTTTAGCATCCAACTTCAGCTCAGGTCATGATCTCACAGCTCATGAGCTCGAATCCCTGACCCGCATCAAGCTCTCTGCTGTCAGCGCAGAGCCTGCTTTAGATCCTTTGTCGCCCTCTCTCTATCTCTCTCAAAAATGAATAAACATTTAAATAATAACAACAACACTAATAAAGATGTGGAGTAAAAACACACCAAAAAAGAGTTTATAAAACTGGAGAGTAGCCAGAGGAAGGTAATGAAAACAGCCAAGGGTACACCTGAAATGAATACTATGTTAACTATACTGGAATTAAAATAAAAACAAATAAATGAAACAACAACAACCACGGGTAGAGAACATTTTTTTTTAATGTTTATTTTTCAGAGAGAGGGAGTACAAGCAGGGAGGAGGAGCAGAGAGAAAGGAAGACACAAAATTCAAAGCAGGCTCCAGGCTCTGAGCTGTCGGTAGAGCTCAAACTCACGAACCCACGAGATCATGACATGAGCCAAAGTCCGACACTTAACTGACTTAGCTGCCCAGGTGCTCCAAGTATTGGAGAACATTTTAAAACTATAACTCTTGAGGCAAACTTATTTTGTGCCTAGCAAAAAGTAAGCTCCCAGCAAACGTTTGAGTGAATTCTTTCTTCTGTAAGACTAAGAAGGAATAGGATATTGACAAAAAAAACCCACAAAAACAAAACCCAAAAAAACCAAAAAACAAAAAAACCTCACCCATTAGGGAGTAAATAAGGTACACACTCTCTAAATAAGTTCACTCTCTCATAAGTTCACACTTTCTAAATACTTTAAGTTGGGACCTCCTGAAGCTTGAGAGGCATTTTCTGGTTAAACATCATACTTTTTCAATAAATGAGATAAATTATGTGATTAATTTTTTTCTTTGTTTCAAACTTTATATGACACCTTTCTTTCAATTGTGTACTAATTGTACCAATTGTGGTTCAGGAAAATGTGGTCTGATTGCTAAGGTAATCATAACAGCCTAATACTTTGTATTTCAGAGTCAAAAGGTATTACCCAGGCACGTGAGATATTTATTGCAGTTCAATTACTTGCTTAGGATGTCATTAGAATGTTATCTGAGTGGGGTTTTTTTAATTCCCCCCAAAAATTTTATTGAATTCAAAATGGGCTATGTCAAATAATTTCAAAACTTGTCTCAAATTCAAGAAGTAGCAAATGTTTTGTTGTCTACATTTTTTAAAAACCTACTGAATAATCTATTTCTTTCAACATCATGTGTATTCATAAGACAATAGGGTAGAAAGCTAGCTATTTTTATTCTAGCAATGGATTCTCTCAAAGATAAAAAGTCATAGAAGACCATATGAGCCTTTTTGCAAAGTTGGTTAGCAACTTGCTATACTAAGCTATTTCCTATTTTGGAAATTTTCAAACATATAGGAAGTAAAGAGAAGTGAGTGATGAACTCCTTGTATCCATCACCCACTTTTCACAATTTTCTACCTTCTACCACTGTCTCATATCCCGCATTTGTATCTCTGCCCCCACTCCCCACCCATCCCCCATCAGAGTTATGTCACATCATTAGATTAGTGCATGACTGGTTGCCTGGATATGAGCCAGATGAAGGTATCTGAAAATTGGGTCTGATTTGCTTGTTGGGTCACCTTCACAAATGTAACTATTTTACCCAATGCAATCATCTTCTTTGTGGCTGTTGCTTAAATTTCATGACTTAGAAGCTGAAGGGTTCTCTAACGATCCTCAATTAACCTGTGTTTGCAAATACCAAAGCTGTAGATAGGGCATAAAATCTACTCACCAGTAGAATGAAAAATCATCTCTTCATTGGATTGCTTGAGCCAGGTCTTATCTGAATCCCAGATGTCTGATTGACTTCTGCTATGGTAAAAATAGTTTCAACAATGCTTACTGCATTTTATAGAACTGTCTATGCAGCTGGAGAACAGATGGTTCCACAGAATCATTTTGTCCGGGACTCAGAATCTTTTTGGGATTCTGCTGGTGAATTATTTTGCCAACCTGAACATATAACCCTCTTCTACCTTAAGTATCTCCATCTGTAAAATGGAGATAATGATTATTAACTAGCAGCTTATGTCTTACACTTTGCTGAATGGTTGAAGAATCTGGATGCTATACGTGAAACAGAACTTTAAACTGTTTTCTACAGAGTAAAACAAACAATGTGGGGCCATTTTATAATTCTCTAAAGTAAAGTTGGAGCATTTTACGGGCTTTCCTCCTCCCCCTTGATCCCCATGAGTAGGCAGAAAGGGGACAGGGTTTTCTTTTCAAGCCTTGGGAAACTGAGCCACAGAAGGGAGCCTTGGTGCCTGCGGCAAAGTGAGGCAGCAATGAAAACGGGACCAGCTGCCAAATCTTCCACATCCAGCCCAGTATTATGCTCGCCTATATTACTACTCTTCTAACAAAGGCGCAGACCTTGTAAAACTAGTTACCTCTTGTCCATTAGATCCACATTCACATATAGACTCTATGGATATTATATACAGCATTGGGGAGACAATTCATCTACCACTGAAATCTGGAGTCAGTACAATTTCTGCCTCGTATTGATATATCATTCGAGTGTATTAAGCACCCACTATGTGATGCCAAGCACCAAAAAAGAGGGCACATCCCCTCTCCTCATGGAGCTTAAATGGTCAGAATAAACGAAAATGTCAGAAGTGGTACCTTGGTTTCCTGCGGCTGCCATAATCAAGTAACCACAAACTTGATGGCTTAAAACAACAGGACTTATTCTCTCACGGCTTTGGAGACCAGAAGTCCTAAATGAAGGTGTTGGCAGG